AAATGTCAAGTTTTCAGTAATTAAAACAATTTTGTTATTTCATTATATAACTATTAATGGAATATTTAATGTAATGAAGAGTAAAAATCATGTCTTTTTTTTTTTTAAGTATCTTTTAAATTAAAAACACTTGAAGTATTTAAACTTAAAGTTACAAAATAAGACTTATAATTTGTACGAGGTGAGTATAATTTTGTTAATACAAACGGTTTTCATATTAAATCAAAAAAATAAATAAAACTCTTACTCCCACATTTTGAATTAACTCTTAGTTTTGGAAAATAGATTATTATTATTATTACTTTGAAAGTATTCATGAAATTTGTATTTTATTTTAAAAATCAAAATTTAAACTTATCAAATGTTATACAATTTTATTAAAATATATACTAATAATGAAGAAGAAACTTATAGAAATGTTATTTGATTATTATACTTATACAGTTTACAAAATCACAATATAAATTTATTTTAAAATTAATATTTTAATGACAGAGATACATAGCATTTAACGGGATACGATCGACAAACATGTATGAAAACAAGATTCCAATATGTGATAATATGGTATCTAATTAATTAAATTATAAAAATTCAAGCTAATTTTTAGTGTTATTTGTGAAGATTCTTATAGTTTTCGAAACTTCGTGTTATGAATAAACATTAACATCATAATATAATTTAAAATATTGTGCTTCATGTTTTTTTTTTTTTTGTAAATTTAACAGTATTTTTAGAATGTAAATTATTCAAATTGTATTAAGTAACTTTTTGATGTTTACTTCGAGTACTAAATTATAATTTAATAACTGTTATACTTTTTTTTTTTTACTTTTTACCTTTAGATAAATACGTTTGAAATACTATACCTACTATCAATGCCATATCTACACATTTTGTTACCCGGAGTATAACGTAATACTAGTGTCCTTAAAAGTTATTGATAAATAATTCACTTAAAGTAAATTGAATAATTGTAGGTAATTTCATAGTATAATTTGTTAAATTCAATATTCACATAGTCACACTGTTTAAACACATACATTCATGTATTATGGAAATGCTGATTATCAATAAAAAAAAACTTAAAACTGATAGTATGTTTAAACTTAAGCTACATGATTATTTATTAAAGTATATAGAAAAATAAACTAAACTAGTATTTTTCTCGATTTTTAATACAATTAGTTTGTTTATAATGTGTCCAAAATTTATAGATTAAGCAATTTTATTGACCGATCATTTAATCTTCCTTGTTTTGTAGACGATTGTAAATATGATTTAATTAGTTTCGGTTCACTGAAATTGTGTCCTGTGTCACTGGTAAAATAAGAAATATTTGATAAGATATATGTATTAGGTTAAACATCTTGAAGACCATTATTTGGAATACAATACGATATATTACGAGAACGAGCTTTTATTAATTTATTGAGTAAAACTATCCAACTTAAAAATAAATTTATTTTTATTGATATTTTTTTCATGAAAAATTCAATTTAAGAAAAAAAAAATAAAACGTGAAATAAAATACGTTTTGAATCTTGTACCTCTCTGTTATAAGTGTCAGGTGCAATTAAGATGATATACAGCTACTCTTTTATGTAATTATAAGATATAATGCAAACCATAACTGAGCCAAACTATAGTAAATAATATACGATATCGAGTAATATTTAGTTGATTTCTAACACTCGTTCTCGTTGTACGATATTATTTTTACAAATATTTTTTTACGAAGTTTTTAGAATGGATCAATGTGAAGTGCAAACATATTTAGCGAAAAGAGCAAATATGTTTAAATAATTAAAGGTTTTAAATTTAGATTTCAAAAAAGAACAGTGGAACTGTACGATGAAAATATGTAAGGCTTTGTTAAAAGTAGATAAAAATAACAAAGTAATAATGGACGAAAGTAAGTTGAACCACAATAATCATGTAGCATTATCTGAAAAAGTACTTAATAGGCAAGAAATTAGTTACTCTTTGAAAAGAAAAAGCAGTCACTGAAATATTATTATGTGAAAGGCCTTTAAAGATATTACATTACGACAACATAAAATAGATACTATTACAATTACTAATGTATTGTACATTAAAAAAAAATGTACAGCTCAATTTTTCCGAACTTACCTAAAACGATAGTTGAAGTTCATAATGTTTTATACGAGATATTATTTACGAAAATCAACAATTTTTATTATACAACGATATAGAGATTAATTTTTTTCTTCCCGATTCTATTATTGATATAATTTATTAGTCATATCTCGATAAATTACATAATCGCCTAACGTTGTACTAAGCTCAATTATAATAGTTGTTATGTATCGTAATGTTCTCATTCTATATATGTATGATTAAGTCATTGTTTAATTATATTGTTTGAAAACTGTCGACGTTCGATGAATATCAAGTTCTTCGTACAATATTGCGAGCGCGTAATATAGTAACCATTATAATGTGACATTCTGAACAATCATAAATATATATTATAGATGAAAGAACTTCGAATAACCTGTGCTTATTTATTTCGTTGCCGGTGGTTGATACGAACATAATTATCATTGTCATTATAACGTGGTATGATTATATTTTCACGGCACACGTAGAACACTTGCAGAGTTTCTCGCAATAAAATCGTTTTTGATCTTACATGTCCATAAATAAATTTGTGGATATCCTATCTACTACAAGCTATATCGAACGAATGTAATAAAATTATGTTACCAACATTCGGGTTAAACGGATAACTTATTTCGGTACGATCGGCGCAGTACGTTAAGTGAGCGAGTGTGAGTCTCAAATTTGATTTGAACACCAATGGCCAAGTAATGTCGTAACCACGACATCGAACTTTCGTTGGATACATGTCCTATATTTAATTAATGATTAATCTCCGGGTTATTTTGGTGAAAGTTTTGTGGTCGGTAAATTATTATAACCCATAACAGGGTACCTACACAAAATAAAAACAGGGAAGGTTGATTAAACATTTAGACACGCTTGTTGGAAATATTGGTGAACGCGCACTTCGCATACTCTGCGTACCTTCCAATATACTATGTAATAAGTTCGTTACACTCAATTCCGAGGTACGAGCTTCCTCGAGAAGATTTCGATATTCATAAATAGTTGGTATGCTTTAGGACAAGTTTTCACCAAAAACCGACTCACATTATATTATTTACTTTTTATTATATAATATACTATATTATATATATGCATATTTATTCAAGGATTAAATTTCTTTTATACGAAAATAAAATAAAAAATATCAGAAAACCAAAAGAATATTATACATTATAAGTATTACTACACATATTTGAATGGAAATTTTTTGAAACATAAAAGTAAAATTTCAACGTACGAGTATAACGTTGTGATTTGTTGATTTGATTGATGTACAAAAAATATAAAAAATAATAATTTACCGTTGTAAGAATAATTTGTTTGTAAATTTATAAATTAAAAAAAAATAGGTAAAAGTGTAATTTAATATGTATGAATCAAGCATGTATCGAGGATACATTTTCAAGGGGAGGGGATTTAAAATATTTTTAATACATGTACTAAAAATATATAATATTATAATTTGATTGATAATATACACTATAAAATATAACAGTGGTGGCCAAACTCTGGTTCGCATCTTATCGCAACATTTTTAATATGAATTTATGTATTTGAAAAAGTATTATATTATATTAAATTACAATATATAGAAAAAAATTAGCAAAAATATAGCGTTCTTGATATAATTTTTAATTATTAATTATTTTATTATTTGTTGCTTAATTATTTTGTTTGTAAGCTTTTTAAAATCACGATTATATGTTGTTAAATCAGTCCTTAACAATTCCGTCAAATGATCATCTGTTAATGTTGATGGATGTGTCGATTTAATCATTTTCATGGTTGAGTATAAAAAATCGTAAGAATATGTTGTTCTAAAAAAAAAATATATATATATATATATATATTATAATTATATAATAATATGACCTTATTTCCATTTTGGCTCTTCCATATTTATTAATATATTGGGTGGCTCACGAATATCTTCTTGCTGGCCACCCTTGAAATATAATATAATGTATAGAAAGTATAAATAATTTAAAAAAAAACGGTTGAATACAATTTTAATTTGTAAAATAAAGTCAACTTTACGTGGCGTTTTGAAAAATGTATTGATTCAATAATTATTTGGACACTTCGACGGACTGACAATAAACATTAGCCTGTTAGACGATCTTCACTGCAGATATTCCTCAAATAGGTTTTTAATCATCTTAAAATTGAAAAAGAATGTTCTACAGACGAAGTCGACACCGGGTTATACACCGGGTCGACACCAAATGTTTGGATAAAGGTCCTTCGACACGACGCTTAAAGTATCGATCGCAGATTTAGGAAGTTCATTATCGGGTACCGATTTCCATTTTTCCATCCACACCTTCAATTCAGATTGAAAAGCGTCATAAGTCATAAGTCGTTAGTCATAGTTGATAACGTGACAAATTTTATATTAGCTATAATTTTGTAAACTTGATAGGTGTGTATTTTTTCGAATTCGGTGAAAAATTCGACGCGAACCGAGAAGTGTTTGTTGACGGAGAACACCTAAACACGCCACTGATACATCCACCAAGAAGATATAGATTGGCAAATCTTAACACGCTACTAGGTAGTGATTACAGCTGCAGAAACGCGTGTGCGTCACGAATACCGTGACAAGTTATTGTTTCTCGTTTCGCTTTTGTTTCTTCTCGGACGACGAGCATCAGCGATCGGAAAATTGATAACGAACAACGATCGACGCGGCGATAAATCTCCTCGGGAACCGTTTGGACGACGGCGCGCGGTCGGTGGGTGCCGTGATCGGCGGACGAGTCGGTGCGGGGGGGGCGGCGGATTCACCTGTTCGAGTAGCGGCGCGCACGCGTCGGTTGAGGCGGCGGCGGCGGCGACGTACGCGCTCGTTCTAGCGGCTTCGGACGTCCGAGTCAGCACACGCCGCATTCGTCCATCGCGCGCGCACCACAGCTGAAGCGTTTACCACCGCGAAAAACCGTCACGCGCACGTAACGGCCACACACACTACCCGCTCACCCGGTGCATCGTTCCTCGTCCGGTCGTCGGTGAACCAGTGCGGACGCGGTGCCGTCATGTAACCAAGGTAAGCGCACCGATACACGACAGCCGGTCGTTCAAACGGGGTTTTTTCGTTTTTCCGGCAACGCGAACGCTACCCCCTGCGCGTACGTGAAATCAACAAGTCTCGGTATTTTGACGGCGTCGTTTTCCACCGGCTCGCTCGTCCGACCCCGTGAAATTCGAATTCCTCGGAAGCTCCCAAAAATCTTTTTCCTGCCCAACGGTATAACCGTTTGTCCGCTACCGCGACAATCGATATTGTGCGCGTACAAATAACTATGCACTCCTGTCACCGCTGTTTTACAGAGCCGTTCGATGTTCGCAATGATAAAAACACGGCGCGTTTCACGTATCGCCCGAAAAACGAGAAAAGAAAAACGTTCACGCATGTACCGTATCGCGTGATAGGTAATCAAAACGATAATAACCATATATTGCATTCTTTGCACCAGTGTCTTCCGACCCTTCTCCACCGCTTAATACAATGCCAGTCGGTCGGCGCGTTAATGGACCGAGCACCAAGGCTATTTTCTACCTCCTCCCACTCATCAAGGGTGTAATATATTAGACGTGGATGCTGAATGCCCTGTACTTAATATATTTATCAAATTATATACGAGAGGTGTCATGCGCAGAACTCATTACTGTTGGTTAATGGTCAGGTGAAACAATAGTGCACATTAAGTTTGCTACCGCCGCTTATGACCGGTCGTAACTTTCTCTGACTATACAATGAGTATTTATACTGTCACGAATTTCGTTACTGATATGGCATGTATATATTTATATATAGTGCGTATGTAATGTATTTATGGCAAAAAAATAATAACGGCCATCCGATAAATCGATGGAAAACAGTGAGTAATGGTTTTGTGTCCATGCGAAGGCGGTAGTCGTAAATTACTATTTTATTGTTAGTAGTTGAATTTTCTGACAGAAGCGATATAATCCCTAACATAGCTACGGAGATTTCCGCAGATTCCTCCCTTACTAAAACTCAAGAAGCCATTTTTATTGTAACCGATTTTACGAGATCATAAACTCTCTTAATTGGGTTTGACTTTTCTTTTTCTTTTTTTTTTATTGACCATCCTGGTGCATATATACTAATGTACAAATTGTTTTATGACGTTCATGAAAAACATTGTATACGAAACAATAATTTTCATTACATTTGTTCCGTTTTAAAAATTATCCTTAAACGTTAGTAATGTATTATTTTGTTTTTTATATCAAATTTTTCCGCAAAAATACAGCAAAAAAATGTAGAACTTACTAGTAAATCGTTGTATTTATTTATAAAAAAAAACCGTTTATGTCATATAATTGATTTTCCAGGATAAACAAATAACTTATGATAATAATATATTTATTTAAATTTTTGAAACGCGTCTGGAAAATCTAATTTATCCATATACATTTTATTACAAAACAAACACATTTATGACACGACTTTGTACAGGAATTTACATCAATTTTTATAAAACCTTATTTAAATAACTTATAATATATTAAAAAATGCATACAGAATTCTCCAGTTACTTATTGTAAAAACATTTTGTTTAATATTTTGAGTCAACATAATTATTTTCTTGAATATTGTAATCTACATAAATATATTAGCTCTTCATGCAAGCGAAATATTAAATATATAAATTAAATATAATTAAGAATAGTGGCAATCTTGCATTGGGGGGGAGGGGTTCACAAAAGTAATTATTATCTTTTTTTTTCGTTGCACAGATAAATAAGATAAATAACTGCTATAAATAGATATTACTTTATACTACTTTTTTTACCAATTTACAGTTTAATTTTACATTACAGTAAATTAATAGCTATTGGAATATAAAAACATGCATAGTCAACAAAACTTTTCAAACACCAATCAATATAATAATTATATAATTATCATAGTATTTGTATAGTTGTATATTTTAAGTTCAAAACGTAATAATGAAACTACAAATATATTACACGTCATTAATAATTAAACAATTTTCTTCTTTTTTTTTTGGCCCTGGAGGTTTGACCCCCCCCCCCGGATTTACGCCACTGATTAAGAAATTCGACATTTTCTAAAGAAAATTGCTACTACTAGTACCTACTAGTAAGGTGTTTTTATAAATATCATCACGAACAACGTTATATTAATTGTATTCATTAATCACTAATTTTTATGGTTATCATAATATAAGGGTCGCTTAAAATCTTAGTGAAATTATAAAAAGTCACTGCCTCAAAAGGGTTGAGAACCGCTGATGTATAATAGAATTATCACTTATATTTTTAAATGTTTTTATGCAATCTTAAATTGGATACAAAAGTTATATTATCGTCAGTAATCAATATTGCACTGTTACTTTATCAACAAAACGAATTATGTCGGTAGGTATACCGTTTATGAAATTTTAACGTAAACTGACGTAGTTCCATGAGCCTAATATTATAACAAGTCTAGTTATATTTAAATACTAAGAAGTAGCGAAAAAAATATTTATGCATAATTAAATAAACAAATAGTATATATATATATAGAAATAAATAAATAAAATCTTGGTTTGGAATATTATTATAATTGTAAAATACGACCGGTTTCGAATTGAAAATTCTTTATCAGGTAAATAAAAAGTTTATAAAATCGCGACTGAAAATGAAAAAATAAAATCACAACTATTGCGATCATTGAAATACATTGCACACATTTTAAAAATAATAATAATAATGCATTATACTATAGTTATTATAAAAAATGTCTATCTTCGTGTAATAAACTGAAATATTGATATTTTCTTTTCCTCTACCTACTCAACCAATTAGTATGGATGAATAATTAGAATGTCTAAATCCAATTGGTATAAAACACATTTTACTGTACAATAAAACTATACAGAATAGTTATTACGATTAGATAAATAATCAAACGCTTACCAGTCTCACTAAAAAAGTGCTCAAATTTATTTTACGGTGACTAAGTAAATCGTCAAATTATCCGTTTATAACAGCCCGTATCAGTCAACTATTCCCTACGTTCCCACATCGATGTTTCCAAAATATTTTGACCTTTAACTTTTATATATAGTGATGAAATTTTGTGTATTATATTTCAATGACGTGAACATTACATCTAAATGTATTGTCAACGCGCTATTTGTTTCTATACCAGTTAAAATATTTTTGAATACAATACTACTATTTGTATCTTATTTTTTTCCGAAATGTTGTTAGAATACGTATTGAATGGCATTGTATTACATTGATATTTAGTAGTCATATCAATTTAAATACAATTTTGACTAAAATTTAAGAGCATTGATTTTAATGTTTATTTTAGTCGACAATTCGCAATGCTAACATGTCCGGAATATGATGACGTAAGATTAATTGTTTTATGGGTTTAACAATTAAACTAAATTAAATTTAACTAGAGTTAATTTATTCAAAATAAATAAATCAACATATAAACGTATTTATACTTCAAATTTTTTAGTTATTAAACTGGGTAAGTTATTTTGATTTTTTCAAAAATAATAGTAGTCAAATAATAGTGTTAAGTACTTGATTTTTGCTTTTGCTATTTTGTTGGTCTGTGCATACATAGTTAACCTATTCCTTTGAAATTATTATTGATTAAAATTAAAATTTAAGTGAGATAAATGTATAGTTTTGTATATATTTTTTTATAATAGAAAAATTAATTATAGATTATTCATAAATTGTAAATTCATAATTTTTTAAAAAAAAAAAAAACCTTAGGGATCCATTAATTTGTGACATATGTTTTCTTTAATATTTAAACGAATTACTCAAATGTAAGATAAGGAGAACATTTTTTTTTTAATATATAGTTATTATAATAAAATTATGTATTATTATTAAGTAGAATAATTGTATATTTTTTAATCAAATTATTATTTTATATCGACAATAGTCAGATGAAGGACCATTATAGATAATTTGCTATATACTTATTTTTGCATACCCAATAATAATAAAATATAACTATACTAAATTACATGTAATTACATTAAGGTAAGTGAAAAAAAATTGAATTGATCTCTGTTCTTTAATATATTTATATTAAATATGCTATAATATCGATAACATTGATCAAATATATGTATAATAGGATAGAATTTACTAAACAATATAAGTTCAGAATCCTCTTACTATAATTTATAATGGACTATTTTTTCTACTTTCAAAGCTATCTAAAATATATTGTACTTAATAAAACAATTAATCATTCAAAGCACCAACTAGAAAATATCTAAAAAATCTTATACTCTGTTAAAATAATTTAAAAATAATATAAATATAAATATACTTTATTGGTTTTCTGTTTTATTGATTATATTATATTAATTTTACAATTGATTGGCTAAAGAATATCGATATAATCTGTATAAAAACTCACTTTAAATGCATAAGTAAAGTGTAATAAATCAATTTGTTAATTTTTACAATATATTCCATTTTATTACAATATTATTTTATGGTTCTATAACTTATAACAAACACGAGTTTATTCGCAGTTATAAAAAGATTAGTGAATTTATTCATGTTTTTTATTATATTTAGAGATTTTTAACTGAAAGTATTTTAATTTGATAATACACGTTTAGAAATTCAATTATTTTCTTATATTTTTAACTCGAATTTTTAATTTTCAAACTTTAATATGAAGTTCAGAGGATTAAACACATTTTATTTGTTTGATTGAAATTCATAAACTACACCATCACCAACTTGATGACTATTATTTTTCTCATATTTTCTCATATTGGTTATTGAGAAAATAATTTTAAAATTGAAATTAAAGTGATAATTCGGTCAGTAAAAGTCTTAATTTCTGTGATGATATATTACCTAAAGTATATTTACGTAAAAGATGGAGGTAAAAAAATTGTGTTGGTATGGTGAGAGGGGTATTGTGGTGAGTTCAAACATTTCTCAATTATTTCTTACTTTTCGGCCCAACAGACGTGTAGGTAAACTAAGAATATTCAAGTTTTTCCTTTC